GGAGGGGACATTAGAGTGTAAGCTCCTTTGTACAGAGACTGATATGACTGTGGGGGAGGGGGCATTAGAGTGTAAGCTCCTCTGTACAGAGACTGATGTGACTGTGGGGGGGAGGGGACATTAGAGTGTAAGCTCCTCTGTACAGAGACTGATGTGACTGGCTCAGGGTCCATCTTTCAGAGTGATGGGTTGCTCTCGGGGTCACGGATCCCGCCCCCTCCCCCCTTGCTGATCACATGACTGGAATTGGGTTTCTCGTTCTTTATTCATGAAGAGGAAACTCAGCGCGTTGGCGGGGCGGAGGAAGACATATGCTAAGCTCCTCTGTACAGAGACTGATGTGACTGGCTCAGGGTCCATCTTTCAGAGTGATGGGTTGCTCTCGGGGTCACGGATCCCGCCCCCTCCCCCCTTGCTGATCACATGACTGGAATTGGGTTTCTCGTTCTTTATTCATGAAGAGGAAACTCAGCGCGTTGGCGGGGAGGAGGAAGACATATGCTGAGGACGCAGATCATGTGACCCGCAATCCAGCGCCAACATGATACACATAGATTGTTCCCATGAAGTAGAAGGAACGCGTCAGTAGAACCTCATCAGTTTGCGTCATTAAATTGTTCACTTCCTGTGATGGGGTGACAACTGGCCTCCAAATGCTCTCCTGGGTTGTCACATGCTCCCCTGATGGACACCACGAGGCCGGAGCGCTCCTTTAAATGCTCCTCATGGGGAGGGAATGTTTTTGGTGTTTGGGGACACTTTGTCACATCAGAGCTCACAATCGCACATTGAGTATTTTCTTTCTATTTAAAGGGCCGGAAACCAGATGGAGGAACTCTACAGGTCCAACTTTGTGCCAGCCTGATGCAGGAACACTACAGGTCCAACTCTGTGCCAGCCTGATGGGAGAACACTACAGGTCCAACTCTGTGCCAGCCTGATGCAGGAACACTACAGGTCCAACTCTGTGCCAGCCTGATGGAGGAACTCTACAGGTCCAACTCTGTGCCAGCCTGATGGAGGAACTCTACAGGTCCAACTCTGTGCCAGCCTGATGGAGGAACTCTACAGGTCCAACTCTGTGCCAGCCTGATGGAGGAACTCTACAGGTCCAACTCTGTGCCAGCCTGATGGAGGAACTCTACAGGTCCAACTCTGTGCCAGCCTGATGGAGGAACTCTACAGGTCCAACTCTGTGCCAGCCTGATGGAGGAACTCTACAGGTCCAACTCTGTGCCAGCCTGATGGAGGAACTCTACAGGTCCAACTCTGTGCCAGCCTGATGGAGGAACTCTACAGGTCCAACTCTGTGCCAGCCTGATGGAGGAACTCTACAGGTCCAACTCTGTGCCAGCCTGATGGAGGAACTCTACAGGTCCAACTCTGTGCCAGCCTGATGGAGGAACTCTACAGGTCCAACTCTGTGCCAGCCTGATGGAGGAACTCTACAGGTCCAACTCTGTGCCAGCCTGATGGAGGAACTCTACAGGTCCAACTCTGTGCCAGCCTGATGGAGGAACTCTACAGGTCCAACTCTGTGCCAGCCTGATGGAGGAACTCTACAGGTCCAACTCTGTGCCAGCCTGATGGAGGAACTCTACAGGTCCAACTCTGTGCCAGCCTGATGGAGGAACTCTACAGGTCCAACTCTGTGCCAGCCTGATGGAGGAACTCTACAGGTCCAACTCTGTGCCAGCCTGATGGAGGAACTCTACAGGTCCAACTCTGTGCCAGCCTGATGGAGGAACTCTACAGGTCCAACTCTGTGCCAGCCTGATGGAGGAACTCTACAGGTCCAACTCTGTGCCAGCCTGATGGAGGAACTCTACAGGTCCAACTCTGTGCCAGCCTGATGGAGGAACTCTACAGGTCCAACTCTGTGCCAGCCTGATGGAGGAACTCTACAGGTCCAACTCTGTGCCAGCCTGATGGGAGAACACTACAGGTCCAAACTCTGTGCTAGCCTGATGGAGGAACACTACAGGTCCAAACTCTATGCCAGCCTGAAGAAGGAACACTACAGGTCCAACTCTGTGCCAGCCTGATGGAGGAACATTACAGGTCCAAACTCTGTGCTAGCCTGATGGAGGAACACTACAGGTCCAAACTCTATGCCAGCCTGATGGAGGAACACTACAGGTCCAAACTCTATGCCAGCCTGAAGAAGGAACACTACAGGTCCAACTCTGTGCCAGCCTGATGGAGGAACACTACAGGTCCAAACTCTGTGCTAGCCTGATGGAGGAACACTACAGGTCCAAACTCTATGCCAGCCTGAAGAAGGAACACTACAGGTCCAACTCTGTGCCAGCCTGATGGAGGAACATTACAGGTCCAAACTCTGTGCTAGCCTGATGGAGGAACACTACAGGTCCAAACTCTATGCCAGCCTGAAGAAGGAACACTACAGGTCCAACTCTGTGCCAGCCTGATGGAGGAA